ACAGCGCGGGGAGCTGGGTATCAGCTGACGGGGAAGTTACACAGAGTGGGGAGTGGGTGCAGGGAAGGCCGCTCCAGCCGAGGGACACTGGGACCCACACGCGCAGTGAGCCCAGTTAGTAGGCTCCAGGATGAGCGATTAAAGGTCCAGCCAGGTCTGTTTCCCTGAATAGACGGGGTGCACCCGGGAGCGTGTTGGTAAGAGGGGATTACAGCCTGCTTGAAAAACACGTTCTCTTGAGCAGAGTCAATGCGCACCTCTTTACGCGGCCGTTATTTTAGCTGGCTCGCGTTTCGCTACCACTTCCAGACCACTGACAGCTGAGCTAATGGACTTTTATTTATTAATTCAGCTGTTTTATCACGAACTCCCCCCTATCTACGGTCACGTATCCGCCCCAGGACCAGCTGCACGGGACTGAATGGAACATTCTCACTGCCTGGTGGAAGAGCAAGTCCTAACCAGGAGCGGTGGTCTCATGCTCCCCAAATAGCTGTACACCAGGAATCCCCAAACGTCAGTCGGTTGAGGACCCCGACACTATTCTTCAATTATAAAGTAAGAGTAGAATTAATTGTAATAAGCTGTAGCTCAGTGGTAGAGCGCTTGCCTCTCACAGGCGAGGCACTGGGTTCAATCCTCAGCACCACATAAAAATAAATAAATAAAAAGATACTGTGTCAATTTACAACCAGAAACATATTAAGGAAAAAAGAGAAGTGTGCGGGGCCTGCCTTCCTAAGTAGCTATGTGGCTGGTAGAGTTTGGGCCCAAGGATCCTCCTTTGTTCAAGATGGAGGGCAGCTATGCATGTGGCAGAGTGGCTGAAGACCGTGCTCTTCCTGCTGGGAGAGGGACGCTTCCCACAGCACATGCACCCCCTCTGGAACCATTGCCTTCTGTGCTGAAGGATTCACTGGTGCCGTCCTAAAGCACGCCTTCTGTGCAGAAGTGCTTCCAGGGCCACTAGGGGGTGCCTTCTGTGCAGAAGTGCTTCCAGGGCCACTAGGGGGCGCCTTCTGTGCAGAAGTGCTTCCAGGGCCACTAGGGGGCGCCTTCTGTGCAGAAGTGCTTCCAGGGCCACTAGGGGGCGCCTTCTGTGGAGGTTGTCAAGTGTACCAGAGGGTGGAGCTTACATGAGAAGGAAGTGACACACGGAGATGGAGAGGCAGGTTGCTCACACGTGTTCAGATCTGGGTGCATGGGAGAATGGGCCGTGTTAGTGGCTGGGGACGGAGGGGCTGTGGAGGACACTGGGAGAATCCATTGTTGGGTTTTGGCAGGCAAATGACATGATCAGAAGGAAAACTAATATTGTGTGAAGCTTGACTCCGTGTCAGAGCCCATGGCGCCATCTCTTTCCTCGGTAACGTGAGGGTTGTGTGACTAATGACCTGTGAGGGCTTTGGAAGCAGTGGCGGAAGCCAGCCCTGGCAGGTTAGTGGAACGGGGTTGATCGGATGCAGGCAGCAGCTCAGAGGGCAGAAGATGAAGCTAAAGAACGGGTAGGTTCCAGAGAACCCACAAGGATCCAGGAAGCAGGAGCCCCGGGACACTCCCTCTGGGTGGCCCACCAGGGTGGCATGTCCCCAACCCTGTGCTGCTTCTGCATTCATATTGCCAGAGATGGCCCCGGGTGACTGTCTCCTGGCTGACAGTGGTCCCAGAGCTTCCTGCCATGCGGGAAGATGGTGCGTCCTTGATGCCATCAGAACACGGTTACAGAGGGAAGCCGTCGTCTGCCAGGTCCACCTAATGGACTGGCAGGCTTTGCCCAGTCCCACGGCCCTTCCAGTCCCCCAGCTCCAGCCTTTTGGGCCTGGGGAAGAGGGACCCCTGTCCAGGGCCTGTGCCGTAAGGGGACCCCTTTTCCCAAATCACCAAAGCACAGGGGCTTTGTGTTTGTGAGGAAGCATTTTGCATGTTTGGCACCCGATAGAGCGAATGGGCGTTCAGGGCTGGAGTGGGGACTGGAAGGGCCGTGGGACTGGGCAAAGGAGGATGGCTAGGCTCCCCAGGCCAGAGGCGTGGGACAGAGGGCACTCGGGGTGGGTAAGGGGGCAATGAGAGTCTGTATCTGGGAATTGGAGCAAACGAGGGTGCCCTTGAGAAAGCTGCCCTGAGACAGGGTCCCCTTCCCGCCCTCTGCACAGCTGGTGTGACCTGGGGACAGGAAGTCCCGAGTCAGCAGCAGCGCACCTGCACACCGACCCTTGGAGCTTGCCCAGGTCAGCCCTGCCCCAGGTCCAGATGGGGCCAGTCGCCCCAGTAACCCTGACCTCCCTCTCCCCCAGCTTCTGTTGAGCTGCCCCAGCTAGTCCTTTCTGCTACTCAGGCTGTCGGTGGCCAGGGAGGGGACAGCCTGTCTCCTTCACCTCCGTGTTCTCCAAGAGGGCGCATCTTGGGGAACAAGTTTTGGCCCCTGAGTGTATCTTGGTTGTCATTTTCAATGTTTAGAGGCACAGGATGAGAGGCTCCATTTGTGTCCTTGTCCTGGGCTCTGCAAAAATGGAAGCACCTCTGTGACAATACTGTGGCTGGGATAGAATGCACAGGTGTGAAGAGGACACCCTCGAAGCAGCCATTCAGCCTTGGCCTCTGTACGGACGGACGACAGCATCACTAAGCTCGTTAAGCCACATGACAAGGGACAGAGGGTTTGGGATGGAAATGTGCTGAGGTGAATTTCTGCTGCCATCACATAGTCAGGCACCAGACCAGAAGCCACAGAGCTCTCACGCTAACACACGCACCGGCAGGCTCCCAGCCCGAACCAGCCCAGACAGGAAGAGCACACGGGAGCTAGGGCAAAAGAGGCTAATGCGTCCTGAAACAGGTGCTGGCGAAAAGACGGCTCGCCTTTGGAAGCTGAAAGCAGGATCGGAATCTTTTGTTTTTCTAAGCACCAGAAGCGACCATTATTCTAAAATCCTGGGCCAAATCAGAAATGCATTTTAAAAAAAAGCAAGTTCCCCAAAGGAAAACGGCTTCAAATAGCACATAAGAGCGAATGTCTGATCTCCCAATTACTGCAGCAGGTTCCAGCCCGAGCATCTAATCCACATCCTCTGAACTCGTTGGAGAATCGATACGTGAGGTGGGCTTGGCCTCTTCCTGTCGGTCGGCGTCTCTCTTGCAAGTATGCTCGTGACTTGTCTCCAGGTAGGAAAGGGAAAGAGCCTTGAGACTTGTGGTCCCCCTTCCTGGGGGAGGGGACGGGGAAGGTGGTGTCTTTCACCCAGTGATGATGGATGGGTCAGGCAGGGGACCAACCTGCTAATGTCATGGTCCACTATGGTCCTGATCCCTCAACCCTCGGAAAAAACCCAGAGCTTCCAAGGGATCTGGGCTGCGGTCCCTCTGCTTTCAAGTTCCCAGAGCTGGGGGGCAGCGGGACTGCCAGGGTCCTTGGGTCCACGTTGGTGATCGTGAGGTGGAGCTCTGAACCCCTCCCCTACAGCCAGCCTGCGGTGGTGGCTGTGTTACAGGGAAGCCGGTCCCAGCCACACTCTGCCCCCTGGGAAGCCACGTCTTAAAACTCAGCTCAGAAATAGAAGGGAACCTGGGTCCAGAACCCCAGCAGGTCCCTGCTCTGCCCCATGGGCTCCTTGCCTCAGTTTCCCTCCTGCACGGAAGAAACAATAGCTCGGTGTAAATGGCACTTGCCCTGAAGCACCTTCCTTGATGGCCCTGTGACAGGGGATTCTCTTTGCTCCCAGCTCCGTGCTGTGCTGTGGTTCACAGGTGGCTTTGCCCCAGGGGTTCTGGGTTAGAGGCCTGATTCTCATGGTGGTGTGCTGAGGTGGTGGCCCTTTAAGAGGCGGAGACTAGTGGGGGCCTCTGGGGACGCTGCCCTGGGAAGGGGTTAGAGTAGTTGGTTCTCATAGGACCCTGAATTAGTTTTCTTGAGAGCGCTGTTTATAAAAAAATGAGTCCAACCCTCTCCTTGCTCTGACTTCCTAACTGGTGATGTGATCTCTCCCTCTTGCACACACTCTTATCACCATATTGCTGGCTGCTACAAGGTCCTCCCCAGTTGCTGGGATGCCCTTGAACCTTCAGAATTATGACCTAAATAAACCTCTTTTCTTTATAAGTTATCTAACCTGAGCTATTTCGTTATAGCAATAGAAAATGGACTAATATACCTGTTACTAGGTGATTAGTACATGGCCCTGTTAATTTTTCTCCATATTACAAAACCACTATTTCTTGCCCCTCTAACACACAAAGAATGTCAGGTTCATGAGCTCAGGGACTTCTCTCTCTCGCCCACTTTTGTTGTTCTACAGTCTTGAGTTTCCTCGACCAGCGCAGCCAAACTTGCGGTTCCAGCCAGGGGTGATGGGGGATTAGAAAAATAAAGACTCACACATGCAGATTCTGAAGATAAAGCTGGGATCAGGTGGAGTGCTGCTCTCTGATAGAGAAGCAGATCTAAAGAGTTATGCCAGCAATCTCTATGTGTCTCCTTATCAGGTTAAAGACCATGCAAGCATTATTCTTTTATGCAGGAAAGTTACAGAACTAGAAGCATGTTCTCAAAAGAGGAACAATATCCAAGTGTGGACACAGGGGACAAAGACCCTGTAAGAGTCATCTGGCCTCCCTCCATATGGAACTCTGTCTTAGAGACAGGGTTGTCACAGTTTTGTCTAATCAGTTAATCTTTGCAAAGAGCTTTTTAGAAATAAGAAACATCTTCATCTAAGGGTTGCTGGTGCTTGCCGAAGGTAGGTGGTGTTCTCATCTGTGTTTCCAAACCTGTGGGTCCAAAGTGCCAGTCAAGAAATACAACTGAGAATTTTCTCAGAACCCGCTGGGTCACTTTTTAAAATTCAGATCCTCGATGCAGGCTAGGAAAAGAGAGTGGTGGTCAGCAGCTGGAACTCTGTGGGTGTAGGTCACGGACAAGCGGAGGCAGGCTGAGAGAGCGCCTACAGACAGACGGGAAGAAGAAAAGTTGAGTGTAAGCAAGACCATATTTTGAGCCATAATAGAACAAGCAGTTGGTGAGCCAGTGAGAGAGCAGGACACGCGGATCCATGTGATAGAGGACATTCCCAAGGTCAAGAACTGCACAGTGATGGGAGGCTCTGGATTCCTGGGGCAGCACATGGCGGAGCCGTTGCTCGCAAGGGGCTACACCGTCAGCGTATTCGATATCCGGCAAGGTTTCGAGAATCCCCGGGTGCAGTTCTTTCTGGGTGACCTCTGCAACCAAGAGGACCTGTACCCAGCTCTGAAAGGTGTAGGCACAGGTTTCCACTGTGCATCACCCCTACCATCCAGTAACAACAAGGAGCTCCTTTATAGAGTGAATTTCATTGGCAAGGTCATTGAAACTTGCAAAAAGGCTGGAGTTCAGAAACTCATTTTGACCAGCAGTGCCAGTGTCATCTTTGAGGGCAGTGACATACAAAATGGAACCGAAGACCTTCCTTATGCCACGAAACCCATAGACTACTACACGGAGACCAAGATCCTACCAGAGAGAGCAGTTGTGGATGCCAGTGACCCTGAGAGAAATTTCTTAACCACAGCTATCCGTCCCCATGGCATTTTTGGCCTAGGAGATCCCCAGTTGGTCCCCATCCTCACTGAGGCAGCCGAGAAGGGCCAGATGAAGTTCATGATTGGAAACGGGAAGAGCCAGCAATAGGATGATAAGGGTAGATCTCACCTTCGTGGAGAAGGTGGTCCATGGACACATCCTGGCTGCAGAGCACCTCTCCCAAGAAGCAGCACTGGGTGAGAAGGCATTTCACATCACCAACGATGAACCCATCCCTTTCTGGACGTTCCTGTCCCGCATCCTGACAGGCCTTAATTATGAGGCCCCCAAATACCACATCCCCTACTGGTGGCCCTTCTGGTGTCCCTGCTGGTAATGGTGGTCAGTCCCATCATCCAGCTCCAGCCCACTTTCACACCAAGGCGGGTTGCACTGGCTGCCACCTTCCACCACTACAGCTGTGAAAAAGCCAAAAAGGTCATGGGGTCCCAGCCACTGGTCACCATGGATGACGCCGTGGAGAGGACCGTACAGAGCTTTCTCCACCTGCGGAAGGTCAAGTGAGGCACCCTGGAGACTGGGCCATCTCAGTGTGTGCTCTGGCCACTAACCTCTTCCCCTGTGCACTGATGAACTAATAGCCTTCAAGTGAGTTCCTTCTGAGCTTAAGACTTCTTGCTAGTTAAATGAGACCATGCCCTGCTCCCTCCGTGCCTGTGAGGGTGACAAGAACAGCAGACATTCCTCTCTTCACAGCATTGGATTTGAATTTCTTAAAACAGGCAGCTTCATATGATACTGTTTTGTTCTCCCTCCATATCTCTGTATCTCTCCACTCACAATCCCCTCTCCCCACCCAAGGTTCCTTATCACAAGGACCGCCCTGAAACCATCCATTTCATTCTAGTATTCTAGTACATAATCAAGGAACCTGTCAGAAACAATCCATTTGCTGATTGAGAATGGGAGACCAGAATATCTACCATGCAAACCAGTACTAGAGCGGAAGCCACTAGAGTCTGTTCAAGGAACCATGGCTTTGACAATATCCTAGAAGAAAAGCAGAAGTTGTAAACACATGAATGAGACTTCAGATGCACATTTCATATCAACACAGTTTGGAGCAAAAAAAAAAAATCTTCTTTGAGTTTGGGAAGAAAATCATGAGATGATACAGAGAGATCCCTGCACATCACACTCATAAAATCCATCAGGTGACTTCAAAAGGGCATAGCACATATAATAATCTGGGCTTTTCTATCTTCTGATGATTTTCTGTTTGTAGAATATAGTTTCTTCTCCACCTAACTGAAATGTAATTTAAAGTTCTTTCCCTTTGTTGAAGGGCAGGGGGTACATGGGAAACTACAATAAAGTGAAAGTGTGCAAAAAAAAATTAGATTCTCAGAGTACACTCAGTAATGTCTATTGCAGGGCCAGGGATTGGCATTTAAAAGCACCTCCAAAAATTTTAGCATGCCGCCCGTCAGGAAGAGCGGGATCATGGCTGGCTGGTGGCAGGGAAATTTGGGAGTTTCAAGACTTCCGTGTCCCTTCCGATCCTGTTATCAATGCAGCTGTCTGTCCCCCAGCACAGAGAACAAGACTTGCTCTGACCTTGTCCTTCAGGGTTTTGTGTCAGACCAGAAATGGAGAAGTGAGAAGGTGCAGAATTCTCAGCAGAGGTCTCCAGCTAATTGACCATTAATGGTTTTCATTATTGACCCGGGAGCTCACTGAGGTAAACAGGGCAGGATGGAACCTCATAATTGGGTCTGCAGCCACATTAGCTGGTGCATCTTCATCAAGTGAGTGAGGGGAAGGACCGCTTGTCCCTTAGCACGTCAAGTGGAAAAATGACGTAACGTTGGCAGCAGGGTCTCACAGAGACAGGAGCTCAGTCCCTAATGACAACCATGCTCACCTGACAGGGGAGAGCAGAGGGAGGCTTCAGAGGCTGGAGTTCATGCACAGTGCCCTGGGACACCAAAAGTGGGTTTTTTTTTTTGGAGGGGGGGTGGGAGGATCAGGGATTGGACTCAGGGGCCCTTGACCACTGAGCCACATCCCCAGTCCTTTTTTGTATTTTATTTAGAGACAGGGTCTCACTGAGTTGCTTAGGGCCTCGCTAAGTTGCCAAGGCTGGTTTTGAATTCTAGATCCTCCTGCCTCAGCCTCCCGGGCTGCTGGGGTTACAGGAGTGTGCCAGTGCCCCCCGCACTCCAAAAGCTTTTAGTCACACTATCCATGTAAGACCTGTTTACTTCCAAAATGATGTTATTACAAATCTCAAGTCACCACTGCTGGGCAAATAAACCCAGGTGAAAGCGATCTGTTATTTTGGGTCATGACTGTTACCCAGAAGATGTAGCTGGTCTCTGAAATGCTGTAGATCGAGAGAGACATTGAAAGCCTCATGCTTTCGGCATGGCCTGGCTTGTCTTTTTTTTTTCATCTCTTATTTTTATTTCTGCAAAGTGTTCCTTGGATTTCACGAAGGCCGGGGCAAAGACTTGGCAGGTTTTGCCATTAGCCACGGCCATCCTCAGAGAAACCAGGGGCCACGTGGACGCTTCTGTCTCCTGTGGGTCTGAGCACGTGATAAAGAAGGGAAGGAGGCAGGGAGGGAGGCGGAAGATGTCAGTGACGGAATGAAATTGCATTTTGCTTACTTTGAAACCTGAACAGAAATGGCCCTGTTTCTGTGCTGCAGAATCTGCCTTCTGTGTTCGAGGAATTTCACAAACCCACCACTTCATACAGAAAGGGAAATCGTCCCTGGACACCCCAATCAGAAAGGTATCATCAATTCAGCAGTGGTGAGACAGCAGTCTTTTATTTGCAAGGATAATTTGAAGGCAGACGCGGGATGTGGTGTTGAGTAGGGAAGGATTTAACGATGAGGATTTAAATGATGCTTTCTCATTCTACTGTAAAAAAAAAAAAAAGTAATTTCTACAGCTCTTGGGTCACTGTTATTTATGAAGGAAATAAGGTTCGATATTAGATGTCTTAAATAATCGGGAACTCACGATAGGTGTGTGCTTGTTCAAAAGGTCAGACTTCTGTACGCGCCTCACTACTCTCAAGGTTAAGTAAGAGCTGCGGCAATTAGCACCAAAGTCTTGCTGAACTATTTTAGATTCGCCTACGCCATAAAACCTGCAATGGCCCATCCATCCCTCATCTGAATGCCGCAGACCCTTAGAGGGAGGTATTGTCATTCCGCTATTCAATAGAAAGAATGGGAGGACAGAGAGGTTAGGCAACTTGCCCAGAGTCTCACAGCAAGAAAGCAGTTGGTTAAGATCCAAACCCGACTCCCCGTGACTGTGGTCTGTGGATGGTTTTTGTTCCCTGTGCTGGATTCTCACAGGTATGAGCACCTGCCCCTGCAGTGGGAAACCCCAGGGTGTTTTTTCCCTCTCCTAGGGCCAGATTGAAGCCCACGTGTGAGTGAAGCCATCATAAGATACAGGATGGGGCTGGGCAGAGGGTCGTTCTAGGACAGAGTCTCAGGACACAGAGTTTATCTTCAGTGACCCTAACTAGAAGGAACTAGAAGGTCATGACCGCCTGATGTCCTTGGTTTGGTCACTGGGCACTGGGCACGGAAAGACCGTTAGGCTGAAGGAGCAGAGAGGAGTGCTGGGAACAGGCACGAGTTCTGCCCGATCCCGTGGATTCCTAGAGAGCAAGGGGCCACGCTCAGAGCCAACACTAGAGACCTCCATCAGAGACCTCGTAAGATCCTGCCAACATGCCGAGGGGTCTGTGTGGCACAGCGTGGGGACTCTCCTCCCACTTCTGCATGCGTCTCAGCATCTGGGTGGCATCTCAGGGCCTGACAGTGCTGGGAACATGGGGCAGCAGCCTCACCTGGACACAGGTTGTCCCCAGCGGGCACCTCCTGAGAGCAGACTTCTGCACGGAGCTCGGGGGCAGGGGGTGGAGAAGGCAGTGCTGACCACCAGCCGGCAGCCTTAGAGGGCCCCAGAGGCAGCAGGGCTTGGCAGGGGCTGGCGGTTCTCTGTGAGCAGGTGGGACTGTCCCCAGGAAAACCTAGCTGCAGGACTTCTGTGCCCAGCTGTCAGGCTTGGGGGACTTTGGGATCCACCAGAAGTTCTGTTCACGGTGTCTGGTGGAAACGTGGCTCTTCCAGACGTTAGGGGAGTCCCCAGATATCCCTTTTCTTAGGACAGGACTGGAGAGGGTGCAGTTTCAGGTGGGGCCACCTGATGGGGACATTAGCCACCCAGTCCTAAGGCTGTTCTCCTTTGGAAACAGTTTGACCACTTTGTTACCGTCTCGGATCTTGGTCCACTGTCTGCACAGCACAGAATTGAAGGACAGGACGCAGCGAGAGTCAGCAAGCCGCAGGGTCATTGCAAAAGCAGCGACAGACTTCTCCAGAGAGCAGGGCCCAGAGCCGGAGGCCGGTGGGGGAATTGGCTGCTCTTTGTGCGGTCCCTGGAGTGTCCTCCCTTCCTCATCTCCTCCCTGTCCACGCGCTCCTCGCTATTGTTCATTAGTGCCCCCTGCGTCCACTCGTCCATTTTAGTTTTTCTATTGGATCCCCCACTTAAGGGCGCTGGGGTGGAAGTGGCTGTCTGATTCGGTCCCCTGCTGGCGTTCATGAGCACTTTTGTCAACTGTTGACCTTGTTGGAAGACCCTCTCCTGCTCCTTTGTTCTGGCTGCGTCCCCTGGTCCTCATTCGCCATCTCGCTCTGGCTGCCCACGCCCTTCTCCGTCTCCCTCGACTTCTTGTGCAGGCCCCCCTCTGTGAGATGGGGTGACAGTGACGGTGGTGAGGCTGCTGCTCCCGTGTAGCTCGTGCACACCCAGGGCCCCGTGTGCTGAGTGCCCCGTTGATGCCAGCGTGTGTTACTGCAGCTAGATGTCATCTGGAGGTGGCGGTTTTAGTCCCTTTGTTTCCCTGTTTGCTAGGATTGTGTCACCCAGGACCAAGAGGACTTGGGGTGTCATGAGAGAGCAGGCTCCGTTTCTTCCAGGAAAGATTCAGGAAGATGGACGACCCCCTGCGTTGGCTGGATTCCACTAGGTACCACCAGGGGGAGCCGTGGGCAATGCCGTTCTGTGCCTCCATTGGCCGTTAAAGTGGCTACTAGTGCTCACCCCCCAGGGCTGTTCCAGGATCGAATGTGGGGAAAGGTGTGAGACATTAAGAATTGTAGGAGCCCTGGTGACTGCCTACTCAAGAGAGGCAGCCCAGGGAAACAGTGGCACCCCTGCTTGGGCGGACAGACCCAGGCTTGAGTCCTGGCTCCGCTCTCTGTATTATCTGTAGCTGTGTGGCTCACGGCAAGTTGCTAACCTCTCTGAACTTCTGTTTTCTTCCCCTGCAAACTGGCATAAGGATACCTCTCTGGAAGGATGTGAAAGGATGAAATGAGATAGTTCCTGGGAGGCACCCAGAAATACGCTCCCTTCCTCCTAAAGCACAGACCTCACCCCCCCCCTCCCCCGCCTACTTTCTGAATTCACTCCTGTTAGGAGAGTCACAGGTTTGGGGCCATTTTTCTCCCAGACAGAACACCCTGATGGA